TTTTTAATATATTTTAATAATTTAAAAATTTATTTTAATTTATAATATATATAATTTTTTTATTTTATTTACTTTTTATAATTAATTATTTATTATAATTTGTTATAATTTATAATTTGTTTTTTATACATATTACATTTATACTAAAACTTATTTATTATTTTGTTCATATTTTTATTTATTTCTTTTTCTTTGTTAGTTTGCTAGTTTTTCTGTTACAGATTTTAAAAAAAATATTAGAAAATTAGAATTCTTAAATTGTATATTAAATTCTCAAAATAATTGAACGCGAACATATTTTGTATTACTATGTTTCGTGTATTTCGTGTATTATATATTTTATAAAATTAAGTTAAAATGAAATTTGTTGATATATATTCTCTATATCCAAAGTAAGAGAGCGATAAAAAAGTGAAAGAATTTTAAAAGCTTTTTTTGAAAAAATTTAATATCAATATCACAAAAATTTCACAAAAAAATCCTAATTAATGATTTTGAGATTAATAACGCATTATTAATATCAATAATAATAAAAATTATTGTAATTATCTCAATAGTATAATATCAAGAAGAATAATGAACTCTATTAAATACATTTAATAAAAAATTAAAAATAAAAATGGAAAATATTAAATAACATATAATTCTGAATGAAAATATCAATAAATATCAATAAACATCAAACTGAAATTTGATATAGTGCAAATAAATATCTAATATATATCTAATAATATATTATATATATAATAATTTATATTTGGGAGTTAAAAAATAATAAAATTGTAAATAATTTTAAATAAATAAATAATTTTTAATAAATAAATTTTAAATAAATAATTTTATTTTTCAATAATTTTGAAATTATTTTTTTTAAAAACTTGTAATCATCTTAATAATTAAAAAATATAAAAAAAAATCATATTATAAATTAAATGTTTTTAATAAATAATATATAGAATTTTTTTTATTTTAAGAATATTTATGAAAAACTTTTTATCAGTTAGAAGACAAATATCTATGCACATCGTAATATATATGTATATATATATGTATATATATGTATATGTATAATTGCTATTGTATTTGGCACATAGTACACTGATAAATATATAAATATAAATGAAATTCAATAAAGTAATATATAATATATAATTGCATACATCTTGAAAACTAATACCAATCGACATTTATATAATATAAAAAAAAAATTTATTATTTACTTTAACTTATTTAAATTTATTATTTAAGATATTACATTGATGGATTTGATTTTGATATATATTATTAAGGTTATTATTCTAAACAATTATTTTTTTATATACATGTATATATAATAGACGGATGCAAATTTTTTTTAATTTTTGAGATATTTGCAAAAATATGTTTACCATTATACATATTCAATGCTAAATATTTTTTAAAATCTTTTCTTAAATTAAAAATGAATATTTATAATATTTATGTATGAATATATGTTCATGTATATTTATAATTAGGTATATATGTATTACATATCATAATATATATTATAAAATAAAAGTGGAATTGTATCTCTCTCTGTGCCTTTGTTCTATAAAGAATCTAGTGTAAATTTGGAATAATTAAAAATCACTTGAATAAATAGAACTTTAGTTTGTTTGGATTTTTATGAAATATAGGATTCCATTTTCTTTCATACTTTTACATCATTACATATATTCAAAATACATGCATATATAAACAATAACAACGTCAACGACAACAACAATAACGACAATAATAATATACAAATAATATTATGTATTAAATGTATAAAATTATATATGAAAATATATAAATATTATATATTGTGTAAGGAATTATGTATATCAATTTTTTTTTAATATTTTATTCATTTATATTTTTATTTATTAATTATTATTATAATAATTAATAAATTGTTATTATAAAAAATCGATAGATTAATCTTTGTTTTATATATTGTTTTACATTATATCAATTATTACTTATTATTTTTAGGTTATAGTTAGTTTAAATATTTTTGGCTTTGAAAAATACCATTAATCTATATATTTCGTAATATAAATTTAAACTCATATTTATGACTAAGCTGCTAAGGAAAAAAATTGAATTAAACAAAATTTAAATTGTTAGAAATGTTCATGATATTTATTTTTTATATAATTTTATTAAAATTAACATCTTCTATCTTATTTGTTTCATTTAGTTTTAAATATCATACTTTGAAATCGAAAATTTCGAGTTGTCACGAAGAAAAATAGCGAAAATAATAAAAACTCACAGTGTGAAAAAAAAATCGAAGTAAAATAAAACTTAAATTACTTATTAATATATATATAATTATATTTTTATATTTTTAAATAATTTATATAGTATGTTTTTAGCTTTAGAATTGATCCTTTCACAAATACATGTACTATATTAATATTTTGTATATTCATTTTATATTCACAATTTTCATTTCAATATAAAAATAATTATTTCAATAATAAGTATTATATCAAATAAATGAAATAAACAAAATATTATTTATTGATATTTATTTATTTATTTATGATCTTCTATTCCATTCACTGATGTATTTTGGAAAAGATCAACAGTATTGAAAAGACAAAACAGATTTATGTTAGCCTGTGCAAATGTATTTATATATCTTACAGAGTAGAATTTGTTGCGTTTTTAATATCAGATTATATTGATATATTTTTTTGTTTTATTTTCATCATGACATCAAAATGTCATTGCCAAATTATACTCGATTTCTCCAATGTGCAATTAATATACAAAAAATATATTACATAAACGGTACAAAAAGTTTCTTTAATTTAGTAAAATCTACTATATTCTATTATTAATCTGCTAAAAAAATATAAGTCTAAAATGTAATTTACTCGGATATAATTTGCTAAATCGGATATAACAGACTTTATATCAAATCTTTTACAACAAAATTTTTAAAAATATGTTATTACAAATTTAAATAACTTCATTAAAATTATTATTTTAATGTATCATATTAATCTAATTTTTTATAAATTTTAATTCATTTAATTTATTTAAAAATAAAAATGAGTTACATTCATAATTAATCTTTATATTATATAATATATAATAATATATAATATATAATATATAATATATAATAATATTTGAATAAAATATAATACATACAAAAATTTTATAAAATCTCGTATATAAATATATTTTAAATTTTATTTTAATTCATTCCGATCAAGATTTATATTTTCGGAATGTTAGATTTTAGTGTTATATTTGTATATTTAAAAATACATTATAGATATGAATATTAAAAATCGATTTTTTAAGGCAAGCATGGGCATTGAATTTATAATAAAAATTTATATATAATACAAAAATTATTACTATTAATTTTAAAGGCACTAAGTAGAATAACTTAAAAAAATAAGTTATTTGTTCATGGATCCATAAGATTGATTGAAGGTGGTCGTATATTTAATTGATATTCTCCAAAAACCATAGCTGCTATCCATTTATATTGTTCTTCTTTTAATGATCCTGCTAAAGTATTTCCGAAAAATGGAGTTTCTTTACATCTAAAATTTAAATTTTTAAATTGCTCCATTATATTTATTTCTGTTACATAGAATAAATTTAATTATATTATTTCTATAATATTTTAATAATTTTGTTGATAAATAAAAAATTTTTAATATTATTACCTAGTTGGTTTTTTATTTTTGATTATAAATGTAATGGACCATCTGTAAGAATAAGAAATATATATGTATAAATACTTTTAAAAATTCTGCAAAAAACAACTATCATGTACTAAAAGATTATAATTACCCTGTTTGTGGATTTCGTTTTGATTCGTGACCCAAATACCAAATGATATCTTCTATTTTCCATTCATATAATACATTCGCGCACACTTTGTCTTTATAACAATAAAGTTTCGCTTGACTAAATTCGAAGAGGTAGTTTTTGAAATTTTTCGATTTTGTATCAGCAAATTTAAGTTCACCAGATATTGTCATTGGTGGTTTTATCTTAAAAACGAAAAAAAATATTACAAGATTAAAAAATAAAATTTAAGAAACAGAATTGTATTTATTTGTAATGTTATAATTCTATAATATATACAAATATATTTTATAATTATAATTATATAATATATGCAGTTCTAAATATATTAAAAATGCAATTGAATATAATAAAGAACATACAAAGAAGTTAATTAATATAGATTAATCAATTACATATAAATAAACAAAAATATTTGAAAAATATATTACATTAAAAATTTAGATCTTTATAAAAAATAATTATGATGAAAGATTTTGTATAATTTTTTTTATTATTATATTTACCAGAGATACTATATCCTTGTATAATCGATCTTTCTTAAGTATGAGAACATTGTCCTTCCTATCTTCGGGATCCCAGTATCCCCATCTTGCTACTGCTTCAAGGACACGCTCTTTATGATGTAACGGTCTTTCTAATGCACCAGACAATGTATCCTCCTCCAAACATAGTTCATGAGCTAACATGTTCATTTTGTGTGCTAATTCTTGGCATATATCATATGCAGTCTTTTGTGGTCCAATCTATAAAATAAATTGTATTTTTTAGATATGTATCTATAATTTATATCTATTTACAATAAATTAAAATTGTATTGTGAAATTTTATAGAGAGAATCCCAAAATAAACAAATTATCCTTTGCACAACATAATTATTTTTTAAATTAAATCTTGTTTTATAAAATTTTTCAAATAAATTTTATTTTGTTTTATATATTATAATAGTAACAAATTTGCTGAATATGTCTTCAAGATTTTGAATTGATTTTTGTTGGTTTAAAAAGAAACTATATATTTTTACTCAGATGAACATGCCTGTTCCATGATAAATTTATCAATTTAAATATGTTGATGTTGAGAATTGTTGAGAATTATCATTCAAATTATTATTGTCATTCAATTATTTAAATCATTCAAAATTATTTACTGTCATTTAAATCCTATCTTTGTTAAAAGTCAAAAATTATTTTTTATGTTTAATATTCAAAATGATCTCGAATGTTAATCATTGATTTTCTCTATTTCTAAAAGGTAAATGTACTTTTTTAAAATTCCAAAAATAGAATATAAAATTGAAAATATACAATTTTTCATCAAAAGGAGTTTTTATCAATAAATTTATTTTATAAATTCCTTTATCTTTTATAAAATCAAAAGAAAAAGTTTAAATATGTAAATGAAATCTTATTATAATATTATAATTCAATGAAGAAAATTTAAACAACAGTAAATAATTTTTAATGATTTTTGAACATCAATACAAAATTCATGAAATAAGTTATATCTGAATAAAAATATATAATCATTCTTTTATAATTCTTTTAAAATTCATGAAATAAGCTATATCTGAATAAAAATATATAATCATTCTTTTATAAAAACAAAGATCATATTGAAATTTCGAAAATATATCCACATCTAGATAAGAATACATTATCTTTTTCATCATCATAAGATAATTTTTTGAAACAAAGTTCTTATTTGAAACATTTTTTTCAATAAATAGTTTAGAAATAAATGAGACATCTTATAATTATGTTACAAAAATCTAGCTCTATATTTAATTTGTTTTCATCATAAAAATTGTATATTATTACAAAAAAAAAAAAAAAGAAAATTAAATATTTTCCAAGAATAAGGATAGAATATAATGTTTATATTTTACAAATAAAAAAACATTCAATCGTTTTACAACACAATACTTTAAAAATTTCGATAAAACAAAAATTGATATAAAAATAAATAAAAATTGGAATAGTTTTTTTATGATAATCATATGATATACACAATTTATACACAGTTTCAATTATTTAATAATTATTTAATAAATTTGATAATTCTGATATATATCAATAGTGCTAATGTTTTTATCATATTGTTTTTGTAGATATTTTCTTTAGTTGAATTAATTTTAAATTTTATTTAACATAATATAATATAAAACGATTTAACTATATAAGATTTAACTATAAAAAGATTAATTATACATTTATACTTTAGTTTATAAATAAAATTAAAATTTATATAATTATATAATTACTTTAAAATATTCTTTATATTATTATAAAAAGACCATTAATTTAAGTGAAAAATTCTCACAGTCACATTGACACATTCTCCATCTCTTGAGAAGATATATATCCAAATTTTGAGATCGCCTGAGGGTGCTCCACGTAAGCCATTATTTGAACCATGATGTTTTTCGAGAATTTCCAAAATTTTCGCCTCTTTTGCCAAATCTGCAGCTGTCAATTGATATAATTTTGGATATAATTTGATCAAATCCCCAATCACCCTAGTTTCGGACCTATTCCATTCTTCTGCGCTGTTTTCACCAGCATGCATCAACGTTGGTCCCCAAATTGCAGAAAGATTCTCACTAGTCATCAAATTCTTAGAACTTTGTTGACTTAAACAGTGAAGGTGAGCAAGAATTCTCCTAAGCGTTGCCGCTGGTATTGGGGTCAGTGTAGACAATAATTTACTATATGCTGAAACTCGTTCATTTTCATTGATAGTTTCTATAAAATAAAAAATATATTTATTATTTTTTTTTAAACTGTTTATTATATTTCTATTTATTTTAATTTAAAAAATATAAAAAAAATTATAATTTTTGTATATTTTTTATATTTATATTATTTTAATATTATATTTAAATATTATATTATATCTAAATATATTATATTATATTTAAATTTATTCAATATAATGAAAATAATAAATAGTTTAAGATTTAATTATATATTTTAATTTTAATTCTAAAATAGAAAAAAGATTAATCTAATTATATAATTTTTAATTGATTATAAATTCATAAAATATATTTTTGTTGCATCTCATTTGTAATAATATTTAATAACAATTGTATGCAGTTTTTATGAAGAAAAGAAAAAGTTAAAAATGCACATTGCTTTCATTTCATTGTTTGAAAATGAATCATGATTTATTATCAACTTTCATGCGATTTTCATGCGATATTTCATCATAAGAGATAAAAAATTAAACTTTACAAAAATTTGAATATTTAAGTACAATATTTATTCATTTCTTTATTCTTAAAATATTCTTTCTTATGTTCCTTTTTTTAATAAATGACACAAAGGAAAGAAACAGAATATTATAGTAAATAATAAAATTATTTTGAAAAATACTAATCTAAGAGTATTAATAATAATTGTATTGTACAATATAAAAATATTTTAATTATTAATGTTTATATTTTTTGAAAAAAAATATTTTTAAATAGAAATGTAATTTTTTGATTCTAAATTTTATAATGCTTCAAAAATCATAATAAATAACATATAATTTATTTTTTATTTAAAATAAAATAAAAAAAAACTTCATCATTCATTTTTTGTTTCTATTAATTAATATTATTTACTATCACATGCGACGCTGTTTTTTTATTATATATTCTCCTTTATATAATATATATCCTTATATATTATAATGAATACTATAATAGTTATTAATTTTTATTGAAATTTTGTTGAACGAAGATAATTATGCATATTA